TCTATTTTACTAAGGACGAACAGAAATTAACTACTTTCTTCTATTTTACTGAGGAAAAACAGAAATTTACTACTTTTTTCTATTTTACTAAGGACAAACAGAAATTTACTACTTTCTTCTATTTTACTAAGGACGAACAGAAATCAACTACTTTCTTCTATTTTACTAAGGACAGACAGAAATTTACTACTTTCTTCTATTTTACTAAGGACGAACAGAATTTAACTAGTTTCTCGTAAATGTGAATGACGTGTTAAATTTACAATATATTTCATTTAATTAACTTTTTTATTTAAAGTACAGTAACGTGCTACGATTACAAAAGTTATTTTCTTCTTGAAATATTGAAACCCAATGGCACAGCGGTATGTCTGCTGACTTACAATGCTAGAACCCGGGTTTCCATACTCGTTGTGGGCAGAGCACAGATAGCTCATTGTGTAGCTTTGTGCTTATATACAAACAAATAAACAAATCCTGAAATATTGAAAGTTTTCTGTTTCAGCCAATTTTACCCCCTTTGAAAATGCCTTTCTACTTTTATGTGACACTGAAAAAATTTGATGTTCACTACAATTGAAAGCAGCAAAACAAATTTAAGCTTCAAGAAATTCTTAACTACACATTTACACGAGTATATAGTTTGTCTAATGAGAATGTTTGTTTGTTTGTTTTGAATTTCGCGCAAAGCTACACGAGGGCTATCAGCGCTAGCCGTCCCTAATTTAGCAGTGTAAGACTAGATGGAAGGCAGCTAGTCATCACCAGCCACCGCCAACTGTTGGGCTACTCCTTTACCAACGAATATGCCTGTCACATTATAACGCCCCCACAGCTGAAAGGGCGAGCATGTTTGGTGTGACGGGGATTCGAACCCGTGACGCGCAGATTGCGAGTCGAGTGCCCTAACCACCTGGCCATGCCGGGCCATCTGATGAGAAAACACATTAATACAAACCTGATTAGTCATGCTCTTTGGTGAGAATTAATATTTTATTACAAAAAATATAGTTTGTTGTTAGTCGATTTAGTGTTTCCTAAAAAGAAAATGATAATAGTAATGTATGCATCGAGTAAAATGTTCTTATGTGTCTAATATTAATGTCGCGTTTTGGAACACTTTCATTAACCACCCCCAAAAAACGTACACCACGTATAATAGTTAAACGAACTGCCTAAACGTCACGATAGTGCAGCCTATATAATGTTTAATTATATATGACAAATTATATATGTCAGGTACATGACAAAACCTTGTCGAAACGTTGTACATTTGCTGTTATGTTAAACTTATATCAAAGTTTTTCTTCATTACCCATTCAAGCCGTCTCCAACCATTATTAGTCTCAAAGTGGGTTCCTCGTCATCGAATCTATATAATGTTTAATTATATATGACAAATTATATATGTCAGGTACATGACAAAACCTTGTCGAAACGTTGTACATTTGCTGTTATGTTAAACTTAT